AAGAGTCAGGGTTGTGTTTAACCATACCTTGTAATGACATCATGAATTTCATTACAAATAAAATTTGTTAATGTTTTAATCTTATCTTTTATCTTACCTTCATGATGAATCTATCACCATTATCTATCACAGGCCTTCAAGGTGTCAGTAATTAAACTATTACTTAAAAAGCCATCACTGTAGCTGTGAAGCTAATTATAGGCTAATCTCCATTTGTCTTTTATCTTAAAAATTTTTGTAACACTAGCTGTAAAACAGCTAACTGATCATTTGCAAAGGTTAGTAAGGTAGTTTACTATAAGGCTGTTTATTAGCTCCTCTTACTTTTCTTTAAAGAGTACTGGAAACCACATACATTATAATATACTCTTAGAAGTGAAAATGAATAAAAAGAGAAACAAAGAAATGCATACACATCTACAATATTACACAAAAAAATTTAATTTTGGCTGAACTGATGTTTTCCATATTTATTTATTAATTTTAAAATTGAACATCATCTATTAAAACTGGCTCTGTGGTTATAGTTGATAAGACAGTTGTGCATATCTGACAACTGAGCAGTACATGATGCACATGCTGTCAGCAGTTGTGTTTGTGAAACCATGGTGTGCTTGATGTACTGTACATAGAAGTGCCAGGCTGTCAGACGATCTATTCATCCATAATGAAACAGTGAAGCCCCCCAGCACGATGGCTACAAGCCCTCTTCGCCTCTTCAAAAGATGTGTGAAGATGGCATGAATTATAAATACCCCCTCCACTCTAACACCAAAACCGTGTTTATGGGAGTGTGTGATGAGCATAGGAGGACATGGATTACATATTGGTATCCTGGGTTAGATCATTTTAGAGTAATGGATGAGAAAGTGAAAATGTGATCAACATGGGTTTTTAAAGTGCAATTAAATATTTATTTTAGGAAATAAAGTAGTAAAAGTTTAGTTGGGGCTAAATATATTTGAAAGCAAAACTGAGGGTAAAATGCTTGCATTTGACTAGTGTGAGCTGCAGTCCCATAAGCAGTAGCTTTAAGAGGTGAAGCTTTAAACAGCCAGTGTTTGAACCAGTGTGCAACAAGAGCAATTGTAGTATGTATCCTCCTTTTATTTGTTTTTGTATAAACATGAATTCACTCATAATCTGACCAAAATATCACATTGTAACACATAGTCGCCACCAGATCACAAACAGAGGACAGACTCTGCCCAACATGTGAAGTTCTACGTATCATCTAAAAATAAGAAACACTTGCACGGAGTATTCAAAGCCAAAAAAGTGAAGTGCACATCTGCTCCTTCAGTGTGAGGATCAAAAAGGTTTACTGAGTTTTTCATGGCTCCACTCAGAGCAACACAGAGTCTAAAGATGAGTTCTGTCAGCCTGCAGTCGTCACGTTGTTTGGTAATGCACTGGCAAAATCCTCACATCTTTGCCTAATCTCCAAGCGCCTTTCTTTCTGTTTGCTCTGAAGCTCTACCTGATGTAAAAAATAAATAAATGAATAAATAAATAAATAATACATGGTAGAAGACCTTACATATCCTGTTTTGGTGTCCTTGAGCAAGACTGAGTGGGAATATATCGTGGGTTTATGTATTGCCTTGCATTCTCTACACTGTCCGCCATTGTCAAACGCTTTAGAGACCAGGACTGAAAAATATTAAAAGCTGAGAGATGGAGTAGAATTTTTTTTACATTGTATAGGGTCATCGGTGCTTCCAGTAGCTAGCTATTTAATTCATGTTCATATCTTGAAATTAAGGCACTAACAACAGGAAGGACATCCAGTGTAAAAAAAACCAACCCAAAAAACCCTGCCAAATCATGCACGCAACACTGTGATGTGCTGTGGCAAGCCTTTGTCAAATTAAGCAGCAGCCAAAAGTAGCTTTAAAGGTAATGGAATGAGTGTTTTACCAGAATTGACAATCTGATAATAATACATATTTTCGTTTGACTGGCTATTTTTAAAGAGCCAGAATGAGCAGGATTTAGAAATTATGTTACCCTTTCAGCAATGTTTCAGCTAGTTTTTGTATGTAACACCAAGCATGTTTTCAAAAAGTCAAAGTGTGTCAAGACTACAAAGACAAACAAAGCTTCAGAGTTCTTGGAGGGAGATTAGAGCAGCGAGCAGGAGGCAAAGAAAACTGGTTTTATCTACAGGCTTGAAGGTGGACATTCAAAACACATGTTCAGACATCACATTTAGACCTTAGTTGCTTAGAGCTAAAACACCTAACCCACAGTAGTACAAAACTCTGACTTCAACTCTGGCGAATGGAAAAATATTATGACATTACTGCTGATACATAAGCAATTATTGGCCGAGGCCTAAACAAAATGAAAAGACAATGAATCAGGGAAAGACAACCTGTTGCCAAGAGATATTCGCGTTGCCTTACACGGATGAATCTGAGTAATCTTTGTACAAGTAAATATTCTATTTTAACATGTGGACTTGTGGAAACACAAGTAAAAGATTCATGCCTGTTGCCACTTTTCCCTTCTCCCTTCACAAAGAGCCATTCTCATGAGTCAAGATGTTTGGAGCTGTTTTATCAGCCATGCTATAGCATGGGTCCTTGAGCCAGTCATACCAAAATGAAAGACAGACATGTAGAAATCCTCCAGTGTCTTCCAGAATAAATATAAAGATAAATATAAGGAATAAGACAAAGAAAAATAAGGATTTTTGTTAAACTACAAGATTACCACTTGTTTATCTGTTTGATTAAAAGAAAACAGTCTTGACTGTTAGAGAAAAACTGCAAAGCAGCTCAATGTGTGCAGTTAGCCAATGGCTTAGAGGCCTTTCCCATGTTTTCTCCAAGGTAATCACATCACGACATGTTTATGCCTTTGTTTTGGTAAGTCACGGTTACTCACGGATGATCTTTAGCATTCAGTGTACCAGGCTAGTCTCACAGAAACATTTGAACATATGTTTTCAATTCAAGATTCAAGGCTCTTTACTGTCATTATGCAAGCACATATTAAGGCAATATAGCAATTCAGGCATCTTATACATCGCTTTGTTTACCTGGAGAACAAGTCCCAGGTCTGTCACACAATGCCTTGTCACTCTGATATACACCTAACCAAGTAGTTTTGGTGACTAAAATTAACCGCTCAGTAACAAAAACAGTAGCAAGTTGAATACAACGGGCACAAATCTAGCTTTGTGTCCACTGTCAAACCACTTTCGTGGATCAAAGACTTGACTTCAAGTTCCATCACACCAGACATCTCCATAATTAAAATGTCTGCCTTTCTGTGCAACAGGATTGAATGTGGATGTCATTCTTGATTTTTGTCAGCTGTCCCCCAAATCCAATTAAAAGCGTCTCAAAAAGTCAGTAAGCAGCGCTTGAGTTTAGGTCATTTTGTTAAACTGCTTTTTCTGACAGTCAAACAGTTATTCCTACATGAAAATGGTAAGTGTGTGAAGTGTCGGGGTCAAGCATTCAAGGCCATCATAGGACAATTAATCACTGTTACTAGTAAATACAGCAGAATCTTAATGCTAACTTTGGTCCTTTTTTAAGAGTATACATGAATCTAATTTGTATCCAAGATTGTTGGGTCAGTCATAAATATTAAGAGAAAGTGTTCCACTAGGTACCAGTATATTTTGCTTATAGTCACAAGAAAAGCCTACTCAGGCGATAATACGACCTCAGTTCATTAACTCATCTGTCCTGGAAATTCTTTTCTCCTCTCACTGTTGTTAACTTTACCCCCGTGTGAAACCTGGCTTCTAGATGAACACCACCTGACAGGGTAAGACGGCAAACCCATTCATCCTCCCCCATCTTTCTCATTTGATCCTAGAGCCTTGGGACTTCAAAGCCTATAGGCCGTAGAAATGTGGTTGTCTATGCACCATCCCAAACTAACAGCTACAAAGGATTTGAGTTACACCCCACAGATAATGCCTAACAAGACACGGTCAGATAGCTGTATGGATACTGCTAATTTCATGGAAATTCCTGTTTTTGGACAGTGATGGCAGCAGGCAGGAGGCCAGCTTCTCCTCTCTCTAAATTCAGTGTGAACTGGATCTAAACTGGCGGTGATTTGGAGGATTTTTTCTTTCTTGAATGAGCTGTCCAGTAGAGAGTCCCCAGCATTATTCATACAGTGCAACAATTAAATCATCAACAGGGGAAGGGGAAAAATATGTACATTATTCATATCAGTCCTCCAGGGGGACAAACAGTCAGAGCTAATGAGAGGCTGAAGCTTTGAAGTCATGGAGTCCTCGGTGAGGTGAATAGCATGAATTAAGTACAATCATCAGACACATTTTGCTCTATATGAATATCTTCTAGATGTCTAATTTTAGCTAATATTTTGTCTGTGTTCTAAGTTTTTATTAGGAAATTTGAATATAATTAAGTCCCTCTACCCCATTATCTACAAGGTCAGGCTCAGTTCCATTTCAGCAATCAGAAAGCTGTGGGAGAGGAAGTAAATTTAGTTGAAGGTTAATATTCTATGGGAATATATGTTTGCAAACAAGATGTACTTGTTGTCAAGTGGTGTGGAATGGATACATTTTATTTTCCACTGTTCAAATGTGAGAGAAGTGAGAAGGATTTTTGGTGAGCAAGTGCTTTGCTAAATAGAGGAAGCAGTGCCAGCCAGACTTGACCCCTTTCCCTGGCACTGCTGTTGCCAGCCATCCTGCCCTGTGCCATGCTGATATGCTATCTGCCCAAACAGATGCCCGCTCTGGCCTCACAGCGCCACTCTCCGGTCCACCACTTTAGTTGTAGCTGCCTGCTGATGTTTTGTCCGCCCTAGCGCTCTGTTTCACCCTTGTCTCACCCTTGTCTCCTTGAAGAGGCACAGCGGAGAGATAACTAGACCAGTGCTGACCTTCCTGTTCAAGGGAAGCGATTTGCTGATGAAAGGTCTGCACGACAGTGGGGCCAGACATGACATAAAGACATCCAGCAAGAGCACACATGGTGTCTAAACGATCAGCTTACCGCCACAGTGAGCTTTCCAGGACCTTGGTGGAGTCAGCGTGGTAGTACTTGGTTAGGATAAGGATGACCTGCAAAAACACATGGTGGAGAGAGAGAAATTTAGACAGTTATTTAGAGAACTTTTTAGTTAGTGAAATTAGAGCTAAGTTTTAGGTAGCTGAGATTAGACTTACAAGCAGCCGCCCAAAACCTCAACATGATGACAAGGCGAGGCTTTATCTGCACTTTTTCAAGTCACTAAGGTGGACTTAGTGATTCTAGTTTTTTGTACTAGTAATGTTCGTCATGACTAATAAACTAGCTGTTTAAAGGGGAAAAAATCTGACCTGAGCATAATCAAACAGATTAGGTTAAAGCTATTTGAAACTATTAATTACACTCATCTATAATCAATATAGATCACTTTCCACAAGCTATAACACTGCAAACAGCAACCACACCCCGTATCACATTAGTTAGCATTAGCTAGCAGTGTGGCCGACCTTAGCAGTGCTTTCACCTGCAGTCTTTGTTTCCTGAATGATAATGTCCATACCTTCATGCAGACTGTGGTTACACATGGTTTTGATTGCATGGTTATACGTGGGATTATTCTGACACCAGTGACATACATCTTTCTTTTTTTTTTACATCAAAGCAATGCAGAACCAGGCCTCTAATCGCATCAGTTTACTTTTCCTCACACTCATTTATAACTTGTCAGAGAGAGAGGGAGAGAGAGGCACAGTTGTATTTCAGGCTGCAGGTGGCAGGTTTGTGGCAAGTGGCATCACAATATCTTTGACCCAACGGGTAACTTCTACATGAACAAAATAAGAATAATGCATTTAATACACTAGCAGGGTAACTAGGAATTTTAGCCTTTAGGTTTGTGTGGTTAAATGGCAGTTATGAGACAATGATCATGTTATGGAGAAACGCAAAAGTAAAGCAATGAGTAAAGTGTAAAACAAATTGCTTTCTCCTGAGAGCAATTGAGGAATGTATTGCATTATTATTAAGAAACGTTTTCTGTGTAATTTGTGCAATACATTACCTACATTTTGAGTAATGATCCCAATACTGACCACAGCAAAGAGCGGAAATAATAGTAATGGATTGCATTTATATAGCACTTTTCGAGACCCTCAAAGTGCTTTACGATTCCACTATTCATTCACTCTCACACTGGTGGAGGCAGCTACAGTTGCAGCCACAGCTGCCCTGGGGCAGGCTGACAGAAGCAAGGCTGCCATATCGCACCATCAGCCCATCTCCAGTAGGTGGTGGGTGAAGTGTCTTGCCCAAGGACACGATGACCAAGAGAGACAGAGCCGGGGATTGAACCGGCAACCTTCCGGTTACAAGATGAACTAACCAACCCTCTGAACCACCCTCGCCCGACCTTCAACATACAAATATTTAACCACACAGCATGCAATTCATTTGCATAAATGTAATTCAATTCATTTCTATTTATACAGCACCAAACCACAACAACAGTCACCTCAAGGCAACCTCACAATAATACATAGAAAAAAAACCCCAACAATCACATTGCTCCATGTGAGCAAGCACTTTGGCGACAGTGGGAAGGAACTTCCTTTAAACAGGAAGAAACTTTTAGCAGAACCAGGCTCATGGAGGGGCAGCCATCTGCCACGACTGGTTGGGGTGAGAGAAGGAAGACGGGACAAAAGACATGCTGTGGAAGGGAGCGAGAGATTAATAACAAGTGTGATTCAATGCAGAGAGGTCTATTAACACAGAGTGAGTGAGAAAGGTAACTGGAAAAAAATACTCAGTGCATCATGCGAATGCTCCAGCAGCCTACACCTATTGTACCTCAGGGTCACCTGAATCTAATGCCTTTGATATGCTGCTTAGTGGTGGTGACTTAGAGTAAGTGAGAACCCGATGAGAATTGATAAGGAATCAAATCCATAAATGACATCAGTATTGGAACTGCTAAATTCGTAATAATTCCCATCCCAAATTATATCGTGTGTAATTTTCTCCCTTGTTTTTGGTCACTTTTGTATTGAGGCTCAAACACTCTTTGAGGGAATGTTTTTAATCCATACTTATATTTGAAAAGCACCGCTGGTCAGTCAATACAACTGCATAAATGTGACAAATGAGTGGCCACTATTGAAACTAATCTCTCATATTCCTTATTTCAAGCATATGCAACCGCAGGGGAACTCCATCTGCACTGCTGCTGATTTTTATGCTGAGTTCTGCTTGAAGCTGCTTGGAGAAACTATTACCCTGAACAAATAATAGCATTGCTTGCCACTTTGCTTCCAAAGAGAGCAAATACAAAGCTTTTCTCCTCCCCTCCTTCGTGCACATATGAATTAGCTTAAGCAGATTTTTGGGAGGGATGATTTGAAGATGAAATGCTTATTTTAAGTTGAATATAGATTTATTTTGGGCTTAGGGGACAGTTATACTATGGTTCTGATATTTCTCATAAAATAAAATAAAAAGATTAATATATATATAATATATATAATATAAATTAATATATTACTCATATGGCCAAGACATTTTGATCCAGGGCATAATCTGTGTGTGTCTGCACTGGATCAGAGATGCTTGTCTTTCATATTTTTGAGAACTCCTGTTCTTGACATCAAAGTCTACTGGGATTTGTGTTGCCATGGCAAGAGTACCAGTGGGTCAGGGATCACAGGAGGGCCTGGAGTTGTGATTGACAGGCTGGCTTACATTTCGAGGAGCAAGTGAAAATCCCAAGCGTGTCCTTAGGCAGAGGGGACTTGATTGGCCAAGGGGCCCAACCCACAGTCAGCTGCCAACAGCAATTCGTGAATGTGGCTGCTCTCAGAGAATCAAGCTGCAAACTGTACGACAGACTTTCCTGATACATCTTAATGTAGAAAGAAAGCACAGTCTGTATCACCATATTTTCTGTGGTGACCATACATAATTTTGGATTTTATTTTCAGGTTGAAGGTCCTTGAATTTTTAAAAAACAATGACTGAAAAGACTGGGTGGCCTCTAAAAAATGAAGCAAGTACAGGAGGCAAGCGTCTGGTTGATTTCTTAGTCAGATAGGATGAAAGCAGTACTGTCTTGCTTGGCTGACTTAATAAGATGCTTGGCTGCAGGCCAACCATTTTATCAAATATATTTTCATCCCTGTCAGAACATTTAGCCTCATAAAATACCCTCTAGCATAAAGTAATGCCCAGAGCTTTCATAATGCCCTCTTGTGTCAGGAACCTCTAGCATTTAGGCTATGGTTAATAAAAAAGAAACACTCTGAAATTTTTAAAAGTCCTTCCTCTGAGGCATGGCAGGTGTTTAACTGTGTCTTGAAAGACTTTTCGTTGGTTGGTTTAGCTGTGGAGCTCCACAGCTGGGGAGAAACAGAAGCTTTGACTGTTCTACACCAATTTCCACAATGCAGACTGCCATCAAAGCCTCTCAGTGGAATCTTGAGGTGCTTGGCTCAAAGCAACCCAAACTCACGAGTCTCAACCCCAGTGGGGCTTGGCTTCCAAAGATGTTGATGGATTCCAGAAAACTGGAACAGAGGACATCTCCTTGAGCTGCAGGCTGCTTCCTGGGACTGATAACAACCCTGGTAGCAGCTTCGGTGTCAACGCCCAAGCTGCTTTCTGACTTTCACAAAAACTTTCTTTCCTGATGAGGGATCAGCATCCATATCTGACTGAGCATTCGTGTGGCCCTCTGAGTCACACAGCATGTAGCAAGTGTTCTCCAATTGCTCGTTGGCCTACTGTGACTCAAGCGGTGTCTCTGGAAACAGGCTGTCCGCCTCTGCACAGCTGTCCTTGTCCTAATGAGACACTGGTGCAAAGCTTCACACTCTTACTATGCAGGCAGATAGTCCCTTGACACAAGGATTAGATCTATCGTGCAGTACACTTAGTACTTTTGCTCCCCAAGCCATTCTTGCTTTTTTTTTTAATCATTCACGTTCAAGCCTCCGGCTCAAGCCTTTGTTTTTATTGTAATATTGATGAACTTTTTTATGTTGTTCATTAGATTGCTGAGAATCAAGCTGAAAGCTCGGCCCAGAATCTAAGTTGTCATGGATACACATCCTAAGATGCAGCAGGCACGTTTGAGGGCACCATACAAAAAGGTACTTTTACCTCTGCTTTATTTTATATCGTCTCTTATGTCACTATCACTATATTGATTTGCAATACTGGAGATACAGCAGAACAGCTTAACAATACATAAAAGCACACGAATTGGTTTCGTGGTTCAGCCAAGCGTTGCAGCGTATTCTGTCAATACATGCAGAACAGACATCATCTCCCAGAGCTAAGTTGGAAAAGCAGATCCTCATGAAAATGCATACCTCTACAGCCTTTTGGATTCTTGCTCACACACAAAATACATTTTGCCTGCGGCTTCTGAGTAAGCCCTGTCTACATTATACATCTATAAATATAGCTTTCTAAGAGTGGCACACATCAATTCCATCCACTGTCATGTGCATGAAAAGGAGAAGTGAAAAGAAAAACATCTTAACATCAGACCTGTTAGTCTTAGGTTTTCATCATTCATCCACATGGCCGTGCCAACAAAATATTCCGTTTCTTGATCCCCCTGTAGTGTCAGTCCTCAAGGCCCACATTCTGTTCAATTGGAAAATGATTTTTCTTTGGGGATGAAGTGGACAGGGCAAGGATGTATTTGGCTATAAATCACTACTGGCAGGAGGCAGGGAGAGCGTTTATTTGGCAGTAGCGTAGCTAGCCACATTGACAAAACTGCAGAACAACACAGGAGCCAGATGCTTGTATTGCCTCTAGTGTATGGAGCAGTATGTTGACTATGACTACACTTGGCAGATACAGCGCATTGGACTAAAGGGCAAAATTGGCAAGGGCTAAGAATCCAACCAGAGCAGTATGAAAAAAAATCCTCGTCTTTTTAGAAAATACAGCACAATGCCTGCCAGTTGCAATTCTATTCAAATAAATCACAGAATCATTGTAAGAATCAACAAGTACTATAAAACACGTCAAGCTAAAATGAGCTGGGAGCCTATTTTCTTCATGAGTAATGACAGAAACGTGCCTC